TCTGCAAACAAACAAATTACTTTTTTTTTTTTTGTTTTTTTTTTATTAAAAAAAGCAAGTTCTAAAAAAAATTCTTTAAGTTTAATGGCGAATACACGATTGGGTTGGGACGATGCCTAGCAATTCAATAGCAATAGTCATTAACTAAACTTACTCTGATATTACAACGGTGCAATCAATATGACCATTTCAAACAAAGAAACTCTAAAATTACATATAAATCCATTTGCATCATTTAAAATTTTTAGAATAGCGCTTTGTCTTGGATGCAATATCATGGCGCTTGCTGTGAATATAATCATTCATTTGTTCTAACAATTTAATTGTTTTAAAAAACTTTAATGTTGTTCTATCTGTACAATGTGTGCTAGATGATGCTCATTTTTTTTATTTTAATTTTTCTATGATCTCTTTTCTAAGATTTATAATTTTGATTTTTTATTTTCATTGAGGCATCAGTGATGCTACAAGAAAATAATCCTTTATAATAATTTTACGATCTCAATTTTACAGTTACAAAGCCTTGGTAAATTTATAATAAACCTATTTATTGATGGTGCCTGATTAACATTTCATGTTGGTGTACAAAAAATTAAATAATAAGTGAAAATTACGGTGAATCAAAAAAATAATCTTCAGAATGGCGAGGGTGCATTCATCCCATGAAATCTTCAGTGTTGTAACCAAAATTTGTGTTTTAAGATATTTTGTTAATTATAATGATGAATACTAGTTGACAAGTTGGCTCAAAGAATGGGCATTATAAGCAAAACAAACATAAGCAAGAAAATTCACTTAAAAAATAATCTTTAAAGCTGTGAAATAATAAGTTTCAGGATGTTATTGTTTATCTTCGTGTTGACGAATATTTGAAAATATTTTTATTAGAATTATTCAAAAGTATTAATGAACGTATAAAAAGATAATTAAAGTCCGGCCGACATCGCCAAACTCACTACCATTCACGTACTTGATTAAATTAGATTGTCGAAAAAATGGTCAAAAAGTCATCTAAAATTTTATGTGTTATAATTATGAAATTCAATCTTCAGGTAGTATTTACAGTAATAAAATCTTCTAAAAGAAATTTGATCCTTAACAAAAAAATCATTCAAAATTAAAAAAGGGAAATTACATTAATGTAAACAATATANGTCATCTAAAATTTTATGTGTTATAATTATGAAATTCAATCTTCAGGTAGTATTTACAGTAATAAAATCTTCTAAAAGAAATTTGATCCTTAACAAAAAAATCATTCAAAATTAAAAAAGGGAAATTACATTAATGTAAACAATATAAATAAATAGAATTTATCTTTGAATTTTGTATATGTATGACATAAATAATAAATTAGGAATTCTTACTTGAATACAATAGTATTGTATTTCTGCCAAAGTCATGATTGCTAGTGAATCTAATAAACCGGGTAGATATGTATATAGGCTCAGAAGAACCAGAAGAAAGTATTCTTCCTACAATTGATCATCTACTCAAAGTTCTAATAGATATTTGTCTCTGTCGACGTGGCTGTGCAAATTTTCAACACTTCTTGACATTTTATACGAGTATTTCTGAAACTGCAGGCTAGTTTGATACTGATCGTGTGAATTAATTATTTACCTCGGAATACGTTACTGGTAGATAATTAACGAGTACAGAATGAGTGGCGTTTTTCAGAGTACTATGTCTATTTAGATCATCGAACAAGTGATCGTAAGCTCTTGATCACTTGTCATTACTAAATTTTTCACTTTGACTATCTGGAATGATTTTTTTGGGGGTAAAGTAACGGTGTCAAAATTTTAAGTCTCCGTGGATTTTCACGACAGACTATATCTGTGACATTCGAGTAGATTTAATGACTTTGAGCAACTTCTAAATTATTTTCTTACTAAACCCGTCTTCTGATGTAATCCTAATAATACGATATTCTTTAACATATTAAGATTCATCCTTTTTCAATTCTTTATGATTGAACTTGATCTTGAATCTTCACCTATTAAATAAATTGAAAGTTTTCGTCATGATAAGTTTTAAAATTTACGTTGTGAATTCATACTTAAGAGATGATTTATTAAATAGTTATTTAATGTTCAACTAAAATAAAAAATGCATTGATATTCAATGAGTTGGAATGTACAATTGTAATTAAAATATTGTTTTCTTGCATAAGTGTTTTAAATATTGTTCATAAGTAGTTGTTCATAAAAAGTGATTATGCATACTACAGAGTATTTAATAAAATTCATATAAAGAACATTGAGAATTAATTAGCAAAATAATAAACTTTAAAATCATAATGTTCGAAATTAAAACTTATTTTTAAATTTAAATTAAATT